CGATTTGGTTGAGTTTTGGAGATTTTACAACAAGTTGAAGATGGAAGACCAAACTGTGCATTTTTGCCATATTTTACTGTTTTACTTCCATAAAGCGAAGAACACGTGTCAAACTTGTGAAAAGTTGCATAAAGTTTATGGTGACAATGCTCTACAAGAACGTCAGTGCCAACAATGGTTCACGAAATTCTGTGCTGGTGATTTTGATCTCAACGACGCTCCTCGGTCAGGGAGACTCACCGAGGTTGATGACAACAAAATAAAGGCATTGTTCAACTCAAACCCACGTTACATGACACAAGAGATTGCAGAAACATTGAACATCCATCATTCAAGCATTCACGACCACCTGAAGAAGCTGGGATACGTAAGCAAGCTCGATATTTGGGTTCCGCATGAACTCAAGAAGTTCATTTGACAGCACATATAAACATCCGCAATATGCTCATTAAAAGTGGGAAAAAATGATCTTTTTTTGAAGCGATTGATAACTGGTGATGAGAAATGGATTGTTTACAACAATGTGGTGCACAAACGGTCTTGATCTTGACATGATGGTTTGCCTTAAATGACATCGACAGCAGACATTCATCAGAGGAAGGTTATGCTCTCAGTGTGGTGGATTTTAAAGGTGTCGTGTTTTTCGAGCTCCTACCAAGGAACCAAATAATCAATTCAAATGTGTACTGTTAGCAATTGGACAGTTGGAACGAACCATCATCCAGAAATGTCCAGAGCTTGTTAATTGTAAAGGAGTTGTGTTCCATCGCGACAACGCGAGACCACACACAAGTTTGATCACCCGTCAAAAATTATTGGAGCTTAGATGGGATGTGTTGCCACACCCACCATACTCACCTGACCTTGCGCCGTCAGACTTCCATTTGTTTCGCTTTCTTCAAAACTTCTTGCGTGGTATAATGTTCAGTTCAGATGAGGCTGTAAATCAGCACCTTATTCAGTGTTTTCCAAATAAAGACAGGTCCTTCTATGAATGAGGAATTATAAAGCTCACTGAAAGATGGCAAAAGGTTATCGAACAAAATGGGCAATATGTCATTGATTGATCTTTGTTCTTTATATAAATAAATGACCTTTGAAAAACATAGACAAAATACGTCATGACTTTTCCAAAGACCCAATAGAATTACAAGAGATAACAAACTATTACATATCAGATTTCTAGGACTTTCATATAATTTCTGGAACACTTACGTTATAACATATCTTCATAAATATACTCTAAGATGGTTTAACATCACTTATCTGACAATGCTTCCCATGTAATTTTACATATCAAATAAGCCTAACTATTCTAACAACTCTCTTTTTATAAGGAGTGAGAACAAATCTTTTAAGATGTTCCAGGGACCCTCTATAAAATTCCAAATTTAGTTCAAGGTCAAAAAGATTTCATTTAGAATTTGATTTTGAGAAGTTTGTCAAAATATCAAAAGGTTTTAAAATTTTTTGACTAAATAAGGACCACAGATCGTTATGAAACAATATTTAGTTATTTAACCAAAGTGACAATTAAAGAATTCACAGGAAAATATAGAAAGTTACATAGTTCTGAGCAAAATCTAGCTCTGTTAATCTCAAGAAGACTAGGTTTACTTAAGTAATTGAGGGCCTGGTAAAACAGCAAACATAGGAAATTATTTTGATCAAACAGAGTCTTTGTTTTCTAGACAGAACACTTAAAAAGTAAAGAAAAACCTTTGTTTACAATTTCTTTTTAGGAGCAAACCAATAATCCAAGAAAACTTGTCCTTTCAGAAGAAGAAAGAAAATAAGGGTTTATAAATAAACATAACATAGATATATCATAGATATTAAAGATTTTTCAGAACTTTTACAAATTTTCAATCTTATCCAGCTTGACCACACATATAATTCCATTCCCAAGGTTTTATTTTCCCACAGAACTTCTACAATCGTCTTTAATCAGATTTTGTCCTATGTTCTCCTACTTCCCATTTGGAAATAATCAGCCTCACTTTTCAGCATCACTTTAGAGCAAAATTACTTTCTATTCCCTCAAAAAAAATGCATTTTCGGTCCTCATTCTTTCTTTTACCAAAAATACACATCATCCCCGCCCTGCTGCAGTCCGTAGCCCGGCTCCGCGCCACGCTCACCGGATCGTCTTGTGCCCAGAAAGGAAGTAGTTCCTTTGAACCATGTGTGGCATTTGGGCCCTCTTTGGCAGCGATGACTGCCTTTCTGTTCAGTGTCTGAGTGCTATGAAGATTGCACACAGGGGTCCGGATGCATTCCGTTTTAAGAATGTCATTGGATACACCAACTGCTGCTTTGGATTCCACCAGTTGGCGGTGGTGGACCCGCTGTTTGGAATGCAGCCAATTCGAGTGAAGAAATAGCCTTATTTGTGGCTCTGTTACAATGGTGAAATCTACAACCACCAAAAGCTGCAACGCCATTTTAAATTTGAATATCAGACCAAAGTGGATGGTGAGATAATCCTTCATCTTTATGATAAAGGAGGAATTGAACAAACAGTTTCTATGTTGGATGGGGTATTTGCATTTATTTTACTGGATACAGCCAGTAAGAAAGTGTTCCTGGGCAGAGATACCTATGGAGTCAGACCTTTGTTTAAAGCTATGACAGAAGATGGATTTTTGTTCAGAAGCTAAAGGTCTTGTTAACTTGAAGCACTCCACAGCTCCTTTTTTAAAAGTAGAGCCCTTTCTCCCTGGACACTACGAAGTTTTGGATTTAAAGCCAAATGGCAAAGTTGCATCGGTGGAAATGGTTAAATATCATCACTGCAGAGACAAGCCTCTGCTTGCCCTCTATGACAGTGTGGAGAAACTGTTTCCAGGTTTTGAGCTAGAAGCTGTAAAGAGCAACCTCCGGATGCTTTTTGACAATGCCATTAGGAAACGTTTGATGACAGACAGAAGGATTGGCTGCCTTTTATCAGGGGGCTTGGATTCCAATTTGGTTGCTGCTACCCTGTTGAAGCAGCTCAAAGAGGCCCAAGTCCAGTACCCTTTCCAGACATTTGCGATTGGCATGGAAGACAGTCCTGATCTACTGGCTGCTAGAAAGGTGGCAAATCATATTGGGAGTGAACACCATGAAGTCCTCTTTAACTCTGAGGAGGGTATTCAGGTCCTGGATGAAGTCATATTTTCTTTGGAAACTTATGACATTACAACAGTGCGTGCTTCCGTAGGTATGTACTTAATTTCCAAGTACATTCGGAAGAACACAGATAGCGTGGTGATCTTCTCTGGAGAAGGTTCAGATGAACTAACTCAGGGATACATCTATTTTCATAAGGCTCCTTCTCCTGAAAAAGCCGAGGAAGAGAGTGAGAGGCTGCTGAAGGAACTCTACTTGTTCGATGTTCTCCGAGCAGATTGAACTACTGCCACTCACGGCCTTGAATTGAGAGTCCCATTTCTAGATCATTGATTTTGTTCCTATTACTTGTCTCTGCCACGAGACCGGAGAATTCCCAAGAATGGGATAGAAAAGCATCTCCTGAGAGAGACATTTGAAGACTCCAATCTGTTACCTAAAGAGATTCTCTGGCGACCCAAAGAAGCCTTCAGTGATGGCATAACCTCAGTTAAGAATTCCTGGTTTAGGATATTACAGGAATATATTGAACATCAGGTTAGTGATGCAATGATGGCAACTGCTGCTGAAAAATTTCCCTTCAATACACCTAAGACTAAAGAAGGCTATTACTACCGCCAAATCTTTGAACACCATTACCCAGGCCGAGCTGACTGGCTCACCCATTACTGGATGCCCAGGTGGATCAATGCCACTGACCCTTCTGCCCGCACCCTGACCCATTACAAGTCAGCCGCCAAAGCTTAGGCACTCTCTAAACTCTAGAGTGAAAGTAAATGTTTCTTCTTATTGTGAAGGGTAGGGGCCCTGGGGGCCGGAAGGGGGAGCAGTGAGCGTCAACCATGCAGACTTGCTTGGAGGTGAAACGAAATAAGTCTTAAGTCTAAAACATTGAAAAAAAAATGCACATCATACTTTCCTTGTATACAGAGTTGTTTTTCTTATTTCTAGTAGCTTTAATTACATATATTAGAATTCTTAACTCTTAAAAACCTTAATTTCTAGTGCAAACTAAGAAGTAAGCAATTATGAATTGTCTTTTGCATTAGCATTTCTGTGGATTGGTAGACATAAATACCTTTTATAATTTCTAGAAACGTGTGATTTCTCATAGAAACTCTCTTGGCATGGCACAAGATATGTACCCCAATATTTTTTAGTTCCTCTGTAAAAGGAAGCTGCAACTGTATAAATATGTGTTCTGTAATTAATGTTTCAGTATTTTATAAATGATCTAGATATTTAACAAATTTTTATCATTTAGCTTAATAAGCAAACTTGAAAGTTTCAGGTTACCAAAAAGATTTGGGGAAACTATTTTAAATGTTCACCTAAATTTTTTCTATCCTTCTTACATCTATTTTACTTATTCTTTTTTTTTTTTTGGAAGATTTCATTGAGGAATTGGGGGAGGGGAACAGTGTTGGGGAATCAGGGAAGGGGAGTAGACAAGTTGCTGTCATTTTGTTGTTCAGTCTAGTTGTGGAGGACGTCGCTTCACTGGCCCATGTTGGTATTATCATTGCTCTTCTCAGCTGAGGCAGATCAGTCTCCAGCCATTCAACGGCCACTCACGGCTGCTCATGGCAGCTCACAGCAGTCACGACCGCCTAGCTCCAGGTGGAACTGTTGTTCACTATCTTAGCTATAGAGAACGCAGCATCACTGGTCCCCATGTGGGATCCGAACTGGATCCCTGCTGCTCAGAGCTGGTGTCCAAAGCCAGCTCTTAACCAACCCGCCACTCAGCTGGCCCTACTTATTCTTTTTTTAAGACCATGAGTTTTTAAAAGTTTTTTATTAAAATATAGCTAACATACAATATTATATTAGTTTTGGGTGTAAACCATAGTACCTAAAAAACTGACCACAATGATAAACCATCTGACACCAGACCATGCTATCATTGACTATCTATATTCCCTATGCTGTACATTACATCCCCATGACTAATTTGTTGTATACCTGGAAATTTGAACCTCAATTTCCCTTCACCTTTTCTGCCCATTTTACAAATTTTCAATTACGGTTGACATTCAATATTATTTTATGTTAGTTTCAGGTGTACAGCATTGTGGTTAGACATTTATATAATTTAAGAAGTGATCCCCCTGACTAGTCTAGTACCCATCTGGCACTATACATAGTTATTACCATATCATTGACTACATTCCCTATGGTTTATTTGACATCCCCACGACTATTTCATACTACCAATTTGTACTTCTTAATCCCTTCCCCTTTTCACCCTGTCCTTCGACCCCCTCCTATCTGGAAATCATCAGCTTGTTCCTTGAATCTATGAGTCTGTTTCTGTTTTGTTTGTTCATTTATTTTGTCCTTTAGATCCCACATATAAGTGAGATTATATGGTACCTGTCCTTCTCTGTCTGACTTATTTCACTTTAATTTATTTATTTTTAAAAATTATGTTTAGATTACTTATTAAAAAATTTCATCATACCAAGTTATTTTTCTTTTTTTTTTAAAGATTTTTATTGGGTAATTGGGGGAATGGGAACAGTGATGGGGAATTGGGGGAAGGGGAACAGACAAGTTGCTGTCGTTTTGTTCTTCAATCTAGTTGTGGAGGATGTTGCTTCACTGGCCCAAGTTGGCACCATCATTGCGCTCTTCCCTGGCGAGGCAGATCAGTCGCCGGCTTCTGGACGGCCGCTCACTGCGGCTGCTGGCCGCTCACGCTGGCTGCTGGCCACACACGGTAGCCCATGGCAATCCACTGCCACAGGGACTGCAGCCCACGCCGTCGCCGGCGACTCA